CCTGAAACTCCACTGTCGCACCTCACTGAACAAGGGGGAAGCGGGAAGCAGTGATGTGTTGAGGCCGCTGTTTGACCCACGCCTTCCAACACTTGTCTTGAACCACATGGTGGTCAAACAAGATTTCAGACCTCCCGTGTCACATGGAAGCAATTTTGGCCTTGTAATGTGAAGGGAAGTCTCCACAAGCCCAGCCTTCCAGGGGATTTTGGAAAGAATAGCCTTGCTTTTGTTTTGGCAGATGCATCGAGATCGAAATGGATACACCTTCTTTGCTGCATAAAACTCAGTACCCTAAAGAAGGGCGCCTCCATGGAGCCCCCGGAACGCCGGGAAATGCGAAGTGAAGGTCTGGGGCATTTCGGTCGATGTGAGGCTTCCTTTCGACATCACTTTCCCGCCCTTCAAGGACCGGGATCAATGGCTGTGGATTTACTTGCAACCATTTTTTGGCACACAACAGCCCGGCATCACACTGGTTTAGTTCAATCAGGAGGTGAGAAATCGGGATGTATGCCGAGGCCATGGCGCGGTAACATTGGGGAAGCCTGCTGAACCAAGAGTGATTCTGTGGATTGTGTTGAGGGTAATTACCTTTTCTTGGGTCTGGTTTCAAGAGAAACAACAAGGCGAAAGCTAGGGGGAACCCTTTCATGAGTGGTTCCCCCATCTTACAGAACACAACAACATTCAGAGCGCTTTGCCTGTTCCCGAAACATCGGTTAGGTGCTCTTTGACGAGTTGGGTTGCAATCCCCCTTTCTGAACAGACAAGCTCAACCTGTTGGGGCAGGGACACCTGAAAGAAGCGCCTCTGGCAGGGTCTCTTCACTTTTGGTGTTGTCCATTCATTTTCCCAAAATCTGAGTTCTCCAGTGGCATCCTGTTGCATCAGGACCTGTTTCGTGCGATTGCTTTGACGAGGCTGAGAATCAAAAACAACAGCATGTACTGTAAATCCTGTCCAGTTCTTTAAACAAGCCACTATAGCTGGCAGCCTGTTTTTCAATAATGCAAGTAAGGGAGCAAGGACACTTACACATTTACTGTGATTTACCATGCTTTCGGGATCCACTTCTCCCCAAGACTTGTTGAAGTTGACTTCACTGGTGTTGGCAGTTTTGGTGTTGATTTATTTGTTTTATGTTTGTTTTTTTGGCTCTGTTCATTTTTAGTTGGGGGGGTTGCAGAAGCCCATACCGTTTAAAGCCCTCCTTTCCCTGCTTAGGGGATTCGTGGCGATTTACAAGGTGTCTGACTCGCCGGAAGAAGCCTAGCGGAAACTTGTCTCAGAGACCCCTGGCGATTCCACAAAACCAGATCCAACCGCAAAGCCCTAGCCAATCGCTTCAAATCTCCGAGTGTCACATTTGTTTTTCCCTCTAGCATCATTTTCAGCTAGCATGAGTTGCACCTCATTTTCGGGCCTGGAGTCTCCTTGAGGTACCCTTTTAAACATGGGTTTCCTCCAATTGGAGGCACGAGACGTTTCAGTTGACTCGTTTCCATGGCTCCATGGCATCGCGCAGGCGGAGGGCTTTGAGACGGTGTTCCGATGGCAGAGCGACGAGCCAAAGGTGGTCCAGCTCTGGAAGCCGTGACTTCTCCGCTTTCCGACGGAATCTTCGGTGCAAAATGAGCGAAATGAGCGAGATGCGAATACCCCAGTCAGTGCAAAGCAAACATACCAGGGGCCCCAAAAAAGCGTTCTTTGACTGTCTTTGGAGTCAAAGTCGGGTTGTTCTGCTCTAACCTAGCACTTGGGAGTGACTTTGATGTTAAAACCATGGAACCAGACGAAGACGGATTTTCCGTAGCAAAAAGGGGTCAACAAGGTTACTTGGACCATCAGACCATACGGATAGGTAGCATCCTCGGAAAGGAACCACACCCCAGGTACAACAACTCTTTGCAGGTTTCCGCTCATTCCCTGAGTTCCGTTTTGGACTTTGGTCACTTTTGGGGCTTGGGCTAAAATTTATCGGAGTCTTTTTGGCCTATCCACTGAGGAAGTGAGACTCAAGGAGAAGTTGGGGTTGACTGGAGGTTACCCACTTAAAAGACGAACATTGGAACCCTTCGAAGAAAAAGTGTTGTGCTGGTCCTATGATATTCAGCCCGCTTTGGAAGTCGATCAAAGTCCACTCCCCCCTTCCTTTATATCTTATTACTGAACGAGCGACTCTGTGGATAGTGAACCCAACACATTCTTCGGGAGCACTAAAGAGAGGATGGGTCTTGTCAATCATTTCTTGCTTACCAGCTGATTTTCCAGGCTGCAAGCCCGTTGCGAAATTTCCTTCGGTGAACGGGACGACGGACGACTACACCAAATTGGATTAGAATGTGCTATCTACCAACTCACCCAACTGTTTGTTTGACGAATCGAAAGGCTCTAAACTAAGTGTAAACTTTCCTCAGAGTGTATCACCATCAGGCTGCCAGGCATCGATATTTGATGCACTGAGCTCAAGGACCCTTCGTACGGGGTTGCAGGTTTTATAATTTTATCATCGACACAAATCGGCGGTCAAGTAGATGACACCGATTCAACCCATTTTGGTGCCCTCCCCTTTGCCGACCAGGGAATCTATGGTCTATCCCCAATAGGACTATGGTATGCCGAACGGAGCGGAAAAGCAAGTGACAGCGCGCAGGGAAGGACTTTCTTCGGTCTTGAAGTTTAAAGGGAGTGTGAATCACCCAGAACGAAACGTTGACATATGTTGACATGAAGTCTCGCAATGCGTACCTTGGTGGCTCCCTCCTAGCCATCCCCTTGGCTTTTCAGCTCTTTTTTAGTGTTTAGTGGGGTTTTCCAATTAGCCCACTAAAAGTTAAACTTTTAGCAGGGGATCTGAGGACAGCTCAGGTGCTTGTCATTGCAGACCCTGCGTGTTAAGGGGAGAGACAGACTTGATGTCATTGCAGAACATGTTTGTTTAAGGGGAGCAGCAGACCTATTGCTATACATGGTATATATGGTATGTGTACATATATGTACAGTCTTATGCATCTTAATGTTTCCCATCAACAAAGGAAGGGACAAAAAAAAAGACACAACAAATGATGTGAATCTACATGTAAAGAGGACAGAGTCAAAAAACTGCAAGATAATGCCATAACTTTACATGATGGATTGCTTGCTAATCAGAGCACTGTCAGCAATGCGCCCGAACGACCTTTCCCCAGAGGATGGCTCAGAGTCGATGTTTGTTTTGCGAAACCATCGAATCATTCTCTTTTGATAAGTGATTCCACGTCCCTGTCCAGTGGATCCCGGACGCTTTATCACTATTGGCAGGTAACCCTTCGCTTTTTAAAGGATGGCTCCCTTGGTTACCTGCTATACAGGTAAATGCAATCAGCGGGCTGCAACCAAAAGGAAAATGGCCGCCGTGGCCTACAGCGGTGATTGAGATTCACTGGACCTCCCTGTCCTTTGAGCCTGCTTCAGACTCACGCATTGAAGCCGTTGCCTTCTTGATTTAGGTTTGAAGGCAGGGCGAAGCATTGCTTACTTAACGGATTCCAATTTGATCTTCGACCCCAGTATGTCATAGCTGCCTTGGGACTGTTCGACAACTAATTTCTTCCCTCCAACAACAAACGCGAACGCCCCTGCTCCCCAATAATCAAGAAGGTCTGGGGGACAAAACATATTTATCAATAGGGTACTTTGGGGTCGACCGGATGTCGTCTTCGGTCCTCGTCCAAATGGCTCCCCTTTCCCGGACAGAACAAAGTAAAAACCGCAATTTTCCGAGTAGCAAATTTAAGTAACACCATTCAAGCTGCTTTTTGCTTTTGTTTTTTGTAGTTCAAAAGTAAAGGACGCAGTAACAATGAAAGACATACATGTAAATTAGTTGAGGGTAAATATGATTTGTTACTTTAAACCAAAACATATGTGCTGGAATACCCCTAATAGGGCTGGTTCTGGTCTTGGCGGAGACATCCAACAGTTTAGTATTGGTTTTGATTTGGCATAATCTAAAAGTAGAATTGGGGACCCGGCTGGGTTTGTGCAAATTTGGGAAACTCGTATTTATTATTAGGCCGCGTTGATTGAAAGGGGGAAGAGATTACACTCCTACAGACATTTGCCGGATTCAGATCGTTGCAGGTCTAGTTGGGCCTGTCCTTTTCGAGTGCGCCCTTTTGTTTATCTTTTTTTTTTTAAGGAAAGCCAATCAGGAAACGAGTTCCCCTATCTGAAACCCATTTGAGATTGCGTCCACACTCCTTTGGGTCAAGGAACAAGCCGAACAAAGCAGCATATGCAGGAGGTATCCCTCATCTTGATTGCTTGGTTGGATCCTGGACCATATTCGGATTTTCCACTACAATAGAGGGCCTAGGGCGGAGGGCCGCCGATTTGTGTGGCTTATAAACGGGGCTACAAACTAACTCTTTTCCCAAGGTAGGCGCGTCAGAACTCCCCCCCCCCCAAAGAAAAAGGGTATGCGAGGAGTATGACCCGCTGGACACTTCTTTGCTTTGCCAATTGGGCAACTTGTCATGGTACTGTAAACAGACAGTTTGGTTACAGTTTTGGCCCATCCACTCGATCGGAACTGAGTAGTAGGTTTTACCGCCTACCTTCTGGGAGCAGTTAAAAGAACAACAAAAGAACACCCGGCTATTTCAAGTTGGTTACCTTATTCTGAGACCACATCTTCTTCCCTTTCCCCATATATCACCAAGGGAAAACCCCTCAGCCCCCAAAAACAAGGTGGTTCTCTCTGGTTTTGCTTTGAGCCAACTACCCTCCCACCAACATGGAAGAGCACAAAGCCCCTTTCCAAAAGGACAATAGTCTTTCTACACTTTCTACAGGCGCATGCGCACTTCCATGTTAGTCGCTGGGAGGGTAAGCTCAGTTGTTCAAGCGAATCGACCTTTTGACCTTTAGACCCAAAGGTTAACCTAGTTGCAGGTCCTTTGGGCAACTGAGTAAAGGTGAAACTCAGATCCCATAAAGCCAAAGACGGATGCCAGGTGTCCCGCCTGGCGTTGAACGTCTTCGCCAGCAGCCAGGCACAGACTGGGATTTGAAGGGAAAGGGTTCAAAGGGGTGCTTGGTGTTCGGTGGGTAGTTGGTTTGTTTCTAAAATTTGGGGGTCCCTAAAATGGCTTTAGAATTCTTTCTTCTTTTTCCTTGGGTGCCCCTTTCAATACCAACCAAAAAAGGGGGGTGTTTTTCCACCTTTGTTGGGAAAGACCTAATGTAGTACGTTGTTGGTCAGTGGGATTAGCCTTGTCAAGGGGGTTTGCCGTTATACCCGGTGGCCAACCACATGCAGACTTGGCTGATCTCCGAAACGGGGCGGAAAGCCGCCCGAGTTCCGTTTCGGACTGGAAATACAAATGGGGTTGGACCATTGTTGTAAGCAACGTAAAGTGTGGTTGCTTTTTGGCGTCGCTCAAGTGAGAAGTGGTTGGTGTCCTTTTGGCTTCCTGAGTCTTGAGGTTGGTGGGTCCTGTGTGGTTGATCACGCCCTGGGCCGGGCCAGCTCCTCCGACAAGAGGTGCTGGACTTCCAACGTTTTGGGAAGACCATTTTGGTGGACACACTTTTTGCTAGGTGCCCAGTAGTGCCCTTACCCTTGTTTGGGGGAGGGTTCCTTGCTAAAATAGACTACAGAAAAAATGGTACCCTTATTCTAACCTCTCTACTGCAGGACCTAGTTTGAATTGCCAATCCACGGAGGTGAGGCAACCGAACCCTGAGTTCTTTCTACTCCGAGCCTCATTCTGGCAAAAGCCTAAAAGCAGATGGTCATGTACCCAAAATGATTGGGATTCTGACCCTCCCACCAAACATGGAAATGCACTGCCTCTTTCGGAAGACTGTCCCTTTGGAAAGGGTTCCGGCTTCCATGTTGGTGGTAATCAAAATGAAAGAACTGGGAGAGCTAGAAAGCTGGCACCCAACTTTCAAGCCCAACACAACACTTTGAGTGACTGAACACTCAAGTGGCACCCAAATGTTTTCTGGCCAAAACACCACGAGCCCCGAGTCCCGAGTCCCCCCCCGTCGCTCTTAGGGAGACTATTCACGCTTCGCCGACTGCTCCGTGAAGATGCCCTGCCTTTGCGTGGCCCTCGGCTGGTCGGCTCAGCGGCTCAGCGGCTCAGCGGCTCAGCGGCTCAGCCAGTCGGCTTTGTTATCACACCCGCAAAACTGCCCTCCCAACAGCAAACGTGGAACCTGAAGAACGGACCCTGTTAGAGAAGAATCGTTTTGCAGGTGATCCTTTTCAGATTCCATGTGTGTTTTGGGGGGATTTCCCTTTTAAGGAAATGAGTCATGTGAGTTGTTGTGCCTGCCGGAGACTGATGTCTAGATATAAGGCGGGAGTCGTTGCATATCCCTTGAGTTTAGCGGCTTGGACTTGCTTTCCAAGTCGGCAAGCTACCACAGCTTTCTCAGAATTTTCCCAACCCTTGGCCCACAACCCAACCCTTCCCCGAAGTTCCTGCAGGCCTTTGGAGGGGTCCAGAGGAGGGCTGTTTAGCAGTGGGATTGAATCCGCTTCGGTTGAGGGAAGAAGGGACACCCTGGCAGTTCCCATGTTCGCTTGGAGAGTCCATGCCTGAGATATAAAGAAAGGGGATGGGAGAGTCCTATGTGCTACAGTAGGCAATCAATTGTTGAGGCCTAGCTTTAGGAAGTAGTGGCTTGATATAATGGGCTAAACCAAAATCCTACAGTCTTGTTTTATGCTCATGTCTTATTTTAGTTCGTTTGTGAATCGGGAGTTAAGCACTTCACTTTTACCCTTGCGGGCATAGCTGTGTTGGTTTCAAACATGGGACTCAGAAGGTAAGACCAAAACCATGCCACATCGTGCGGGAAGACGCAGGACAAGAAGGGGACAAAGGTTCGTTTTTCCAGTTGAGCAGTGGCACCCCCCGTTGTCAACTTGTCTCCTCACTTGCCCAGAGCCGATCTTTTGACCTTTTGGATTCCCTGACTTGGTCCATATTCCTTGGTGGCTCCCAGCCATCCCCTCAGCTTTTTAGTCTTTTAGTGTTTAATCATAGTTTGCATTCAACCCACTAAAAGTTAAACTTTTAGCGAGGGATCTGAGGGCAGCCCAGATTCGTCAATGTTCCAAACTGTTAACCTTTTAAGGATTTGCAGGTCCTCGGGCCAGTGAGTCCCCCAATGGACAAGCCCAAATCAAGTTGTTTCTTTTGTTTTTCTTTTCTGGCCGGGGCAACTCAACGCGTTTTCGAGCGAACAAAGAGGGGATATGTGTGATATCCGTTGTGGATGGTTTCCGGAGCAACCAAAGCGACAAGGAACAGAACAAGCTGTATGTGAAGGTATCCGTTTCTTTCTGAGTTTTGCCGAGAAAGGGTCATCTACCCGCAATACAGGCTATGGGGATTCTCCTTGGCCTTATCCAGGGACAATCCCCGCGCCCTGTGAGGGGTCTATGCAAGGGAGTCTTTCCATGTTTCCGGTGTCAACTTCAGTCCGTTTCCCTTTGTTGGGGGGTAGACCTGCAGAGTGGGTGGCTTCCTTCTGGCTCCCGTCCAACCCCAGAAGCACCCTCAACAGGAAGCAGGCTCATTTGTGCTTTGGCTCCACTTGGGAGTGTCTCAAAATTCGGGCGTGCGCTCTAGGTGCTTAGTCTCCTTTTTGGTTTCCCTTTTGAAACCATCCCAACATGGGACCCCCCCTACTTTGAGACAGACCCATTTGACCACCCCAAGCGGCTTGAAGCAATGGGCGCCCTCAGGCCGAGACTTGAGCTGAGACTTGGGATCAGGAAGTGCGACGCGACACAGCCTATTGTGGCGCCTCGAGAGGTGTTTATCGTAATGTGGCTATGGGTCAAAAATCGGTACCCAAAATGGAACCCTGGCAAATGGACACATGGACCTTTTCTGTGGTTGCTTTGAAGGGCGGAACTTCTTTTTTTTTTGGGGGGGGGCTTCCCCATTCTGAGATACAACAATCTGGGAATTCCATAGGGATTTGTGTCCACCTACCATGTTTTGAGGATATTCACTCATAGCAGTACTGTGGATGTACGTCCTGCACCAGCTGGATGAAAAGACAACTCTATAGAGACTGGAGAAACTTGCCAATACACCAACTGGCGTCCATCCAATGTAATGTTGACCCCATAATCAACCCGAGTCTGTTAATAGGGGGTCCCCTTGGGTTGAGCGGTTGGAATCAGACCACTTTTGAAGGGGGCGTCCCCTTTTTGTTAAACTGGGGTTGATTGCTATGGGGTCTGAAGTGCCCGGGGGTCCTTTTGTTTCCCTGGCAGTCGAACCATCGACTACTCGCTTCCGGAGGAAAGGGTTCACATTTCAAGTCTGGCGTCGCATCTCTGAGTCCGGCTCAGCGAACCCTGCGAACCTCCAGAGACGATGCCGCGATGACAAAAAGCAACCAACAAATCACCGCGCAGAAAGGGGAGAGTGCCTGGTTTTGACCATTTTCAAATTGCAAGTAAACAGCTTGGAGTTGTTTGGCCAGTCCACTCAGGAAGTGAGGAGAGCAGCGAATGTCGCACAGGAGGCTTTCTCAATTGTGTTTCCCGATGACTCAAGAGAACTCGGTTGGAGCATTGCTGTTTGAGGATGCCTTTTGCTTCTCACATCCCTCTGCAGGGGACCCCGCAAACACCCTCTTTTTGGGCTTGTGTTGGGAAAACAAAGGAAGACCGTTGCGGGCAAGTCCAGCTTGCAAGACCCCAAGTTGGCTGGGAACCATACCCCGCGTTTGGCTATTTGGCTGTATGGATGTGTGTTTTTTGGAGGGTACGTGTTGTTTTGGGTATACAGGAAAGCCAAATGGAAAGACACCATTTGCGGGGGTCCCCAAAAAATCGCCCATGTGGGTTGGTTTAGGCTTCCGTCGGCTTCTCTTGAAAGGGTGGCGTCACCCAAAAGACAAAGTCCTTGCTGAGCCAGCAGGCATGCCCCAGTTGCCTTTTTCGGGCAGGTCTTTTGTTTGGATCCCGCGTGTATCAACAGGAGGGACTGAACCAAGTTGGTGACACATGTTTGGACTTCTTTCAACGCCACACGTGGATCCTGAGGTCTCTTTAGCCATATGGGTGTGGCTCAAAATTAAACAGGAGGGGTTACGCTGGTTTTGGTCCATGTTTCCACTTACCAGGGTTCCATTTTGGTACCGGTTTTTTGAGCCACAGCCGTATCAGCCTCCCTTAGGAGTTTTTGTTGTTCCCACCCCACCCGACCAAGAAGCACTTCGCCGCAGGGTAAGTGATCCCGCCGGCCTGAGTCTCAGAGTCAAGCGTCCGCTTTTTTTTTTTTGTTTCCGGGGCTTGGGGGGGGGGGGTGACCCTAGGACACGGTTTGGAGGCGGTTTTTGTGGATCCACCCCTGTAGGATAGCAAAAGAGTACTAAACGAGCATATGAAAAAAGAATTCTATTTTGAGCACAAATATGGGAAGGACCCGTTTCAATTGAATCAGAATAGCATCCTTGTACGGGGATGGTTACAGTATTTGTCCCACGTTCCCTACTGAAAGCGAGACATGCAAGGTTTGTCTAGATATCAGTTTATGGAGCTGTTCAGGTGAAATCCACATAGAGCGCAAATCCAAACTGTTTTCTAGAGTGACTTGTGTTTCCCGCAGAATTCGACGCTGAGGCGCTCGCGCCCAAAACCAAGTCCCTTTTTGACTTAGGCTCTTCTTTCTGCAGTGCATCTACCTCTGGGTGAGTGGGTCTATCATGGAAGAAAAGCTCAACGAGTAAGAACGCAGTTCTTCAGGGGCATCCTTGCGGGACCATCTAAATTTGGGTACCCTAAAAATGGATGGCTTTCCTTTGGCTTGCCTGCAGAATAAACAAGCAGATGGGGGGGGTCGTCAACCCGGGTACCAACTACTTTTCCTTTCCAATCATGGTCAAGGGCTTTCTTCGGGATTGAGTTTTTCTCTTCGGATGGAAGCACTTTGAGAGCCTTCGCTCCAAGGTTACTCACCTTTTGCTGCCAAGAGCTAGCTCAACCACATCGACCTGGCTTGCATGCAATGTTCTCAAGATCCCGAAGAGTATGCACATATTGCGGTTTGGCGCAATTTGAAACGATACCTCGCCCAGGCCATCCCTCAACAACGTGCAACCCTGTACGACTGAATTGTGCAGCACACTGGCAAGTTCCTGCAAATCCATGGGCCGATTGGGGTCTTCAACCTCACCAGTGGAGATAGAACCTCCGAAAGGCCTTTAAACGTGTAAATGGGTATTTCTCCGAAGGATAGAAGCTCCCTTTCTATCCCTTTCTGCTATCCCTTTCTGCCAGAGAGGATTGAGGGTGAATGCGTTTCCTGGTCAGTGTGGTGTTCACTTTTTGGTTGCGTCGCAAGTGGTTTGTCAGTTGTTCTTGTTTTCAATGTCCAGTTGTGGCGTAGGTGTTTCGTGGCTGTGTTTGGTTTCAATGAAGAGCTGGTGGAATCTCCCTGAATGGCGGTGTTTCCCAATGCTGTCTTTTTCGAGTTGGGCAGACGTGTCATGGCATACGTCACCAGGTGGACAGGCACGATTGCGCTTCTGACTTGTCCAGAATCATATCCCTAAGGGTCCCTTGGTACTGTGCGAGGTTTTACCAAATGACCCCTTTTTGACCCTTCCTCAGAAGGTACTTCAAGGGACCCTGTTGCTATGTTGTTACGGCTGAAGCCAAACCTCACGCCCCGAGTTCTTGGAGTTTATACTCTTTGGCAAGACCATTTCGGTGGCACAGAAAGCATTTGGTTTCCAGTTTGGGATCTTACTGGTGCTCAGTAGGGAATGTGGAAATGAACCCAGGGGTCTCCTTAAAGGAAACTACCAGGAAGTTTCGGTAGCAAGGTAAACGCTTGGTTACATGATGTTCATGTTTGGTTGCCAATCCACTCAGGATGTGAGGAACACAACTGGAAGCACCCCTCGACGTAACCCGATTTTGGGCACTGAGGCAGCTGAAGCGGCTGAAGGTATCAGATCTAGAAGTCATGAGGAGGTCACTAAATAGCCTTTTCGTGTTTGTCGCAAAACAGCGACCCCATTCTAATGATTGGTCTCCTGCTATAGTCTATCCAAAAGCAGATTCTCCGGGTTTGGAGACCCCCTCATTGCCATTCGGAACCCCGGTCTGAATCCTCTAAATCGTGCAATTTGGATTTGTGGGGTTTGATGCAGCAAAACTGCGATGTCGACCTGTTCAGACATATGCTTTGTTTGCTTGCAGGAATATTGGGGCAAATGGAAACTGAAACGGTTGCTCGGATGCTCACAAGGGAAGGAAGATATGATCTTATGTGTACCAAAAAACAATGCAAACAATACATACCTGCATGGTTGCAAAAGCAGAACAACAAAAAACAACCTCCCGGGGGAGCGTCTCATCCTATTTAGCTTATGGAGGGCCTTTTTTTGATGTGTTGTTTTGTTTCTGTGTTGTTTGTTTTTTTGTGTGTGTTTTTCAGGCTGGGTGTCTTTCGGCTTTTCCGCTTCTTCTTTTTTGTCGTGGGTTTCTGCGGCTATTGCTAACATGTTTGGCTTTGGCAGCATGGCCAGTTCCTCTCCGGCAAGTGCTTCATATAGCGTTTCTCTATGTGTGTACGTATTCTACATTATCTATGTATGTATGTATGTATGCATGTAATGTAATGTAATGTAATGTAATGTAATGTAATGCAATGCAATGCAATGCAATGCAATGCAATGCAATGCAATGTATGTAACGTATGTATGTATGTATGTATGTATGTATGTATGTATGTATGTATGTATGTATGTATGTATGTATGTATGTATGTATGTATGTATGTATGTATGTATGTATGTATGTATGTATGTATGTATGTATGTATGTATGTATGTATGTATGTATGTATGTATGTATGTATGTATGTATGTATGTATGTATGTATGTATGTATGTATGTATGTATGTATGTATGTATGTATGTATGTATGTATGTATGTATGTATGTATGTATGTATGTATGTATGTATGTATGTATGTATGTATGTATGTATGTATGTATGTATGTATGTATGTATGTATGTATGTATGTATGTATGTATGTATGTATGTATGTATGTATGTATGTATGTATGTATGTATGTATGTATGTATGTATGTATGTATGTATGTATGTATGTATGTATGTATGTATGTATGTATGTATGTATGTATGTATGTATGTATGTATGTATGTATGTATGTATGTATGTATGTATGTATGTATGTATGTATGTATGTATGTATGTATGTATGTAATGTATGTATGTATGTATGTATGTATGTATGTATGTATGTAATGTAATGTAATGTAATGTAATGTAATGTAATGTAATGTAATGTAATGTAATGTAATGTATGTATGTATGTATGTATGTATGTATGTATGTAATGTAATGTAATGTAATGTAATGTAATGTAATGTAATGTATGTATGTATGTATGTAATGTAATGTAATGTATGTATGTATGTATGTATGTATGTATGTATGTATGTATGTATGTATGTATGTATGTATGTATGTATGTATGTATGTATGTATGTATGTATGTATGTATGTATGTATGTATGTATGTATGTATGTATGTATGTATGTATGTATGTATGTATGTATGTATGTATGTATGTATGTATGTATGTATGTATGTATGTATGTATGTATGTATGTATGTATGTATGTATGTATGTATGTATGTATGTATGTATGTATGTATGTATGTATGTATGTATGTATGTATGTATGTATATGTATGTATGTATGTATGTATGTATGTATGTATGTATGTATGTATGTATGTATGTATGTATGTAT